AACCAAGTATTCTAGAAGAACCAAATCATCTTTTATTGGATGCTCTTCTTCGTTTCAGACACGAAGCAAAAAGTCACTGAATGTTGGATCTGTTCTTAATTTTATATTTCTTGTCATTTGAATATTTTTCTTTTGAGATCATAAGTATAATTTAGCAACCTAGATTTTACAGTTTCTGTTTTGGTCAATTTTAAAAATATTGATCGACTTGACAGAAGTCACCTCTCAAACTATATTTTTCTACCAAACGGTTCATCGATATCCAATATATCTATAAAACTCTGGGCGATTGTTTCGATCGTTTGGCGCTTAGTCAAAAGCGCTTCATCCCATATTATCAATTTTGTTTTTCTTATAAATTTTGTACTATTCCTCTGCTTTGATATTTTTATGATGGTTATTTCAGATATTTGAAGAGGTATATCAAATCTAAAGTGAGTTGTACGACCTCATAATAAAGTCGTTGCTGGTATACCACTTGTTCTTATCGCTAACAATATCATCTTGATCTGATATTTGCAAGTAATGCATAATATAGAAATATTATTTTGATTCCGCCGGAGACATCTACAAAGGATAATCCCGCTATACCATAGTCAGCTTTTTATAATATAATTTTGAAAGCTTATTCTTATTCAGAATGTAGCTTTGATTGTGCTTCCTCAAACACTTGTATGAACTTCTTAATATGATATTAATCTTTTTTACTTTGTAATCTATTTCTTTTAATCTCTAACACTCTTTTTGTGGAATAAATTTATGTATCCTAAGATATTTTTTTAACTTGAAAAATATGTTTACTCATAAGATGAATTTAAAAAATAATTTAATTGGATTCTCTTGCTAAACAATTAATTGAAAGATTTGATTATTTGATTTTAACATAGAATATAATTTATTTTCTGTTGATTTAGAGTCTTAATATTAGTTCATCTCATGTTTGAATATTTAATTGTAGTTATAATTTTATCCATCATAATTTTTTTTTCAAAGAGTAAAAGATCGTTAAAAGGTTATTTTTATAATCCAACATTTTATTCATGCTTATATATATATATATATATATATATATATATATATATATATATATATATATATATATATAGATTGATAGATAGATAGATAGATAGATAGATATAGATATTTCATTTTTAAGAATAATTTAAATTTTAACCAATTTTCTATTGAGTCTTTTTCTCAAAACTTTTTTACGCCTGCAACTTGCTTTTCAACTTCCAAAACCTACCAGATAAGACCCGTTGATTTGAAACCAACTATATCTTGAGATTTATATGAATAACGCATCATAGAGATTAATCATGCGATGACAATAAAAGTAAAAGATAAACTAAGAAAGAAAAAAGTATAAGAAAATTCAGGGACTTTGACAATAAAAGTAAAAGATAAACTAAGAAAGAAAAAAGTATAAGAAAATTCAGGGACTTTACGCAAAATATATTTTATCAAGCAAAAAAGGAAAAAGAAACACAATAGAGAATAAGTAAGGAAAAAGTTGGTGCCACGCTGAAAGTTGAATTTGAATAATCCTTATTATGATTTGGTACTTATTTGATTCTTTTGTGTTTATTGAATTGTTTGTGAAAAAAATGTGACCTTGGCCAAGGGCGAGATTAAACTTCCCAAACTTGAAAAAATCAGTAAGAACGTATATGTTTGTGAAACCTAATTATTACGTAATTACCGTGATTGCAAATGCTTATTTGCCGGATAATATCTGGAAAACATAAGTGTTTACCCTCGAATCCGGATAACAATTGAATTTATATGGGGTTTTAAGGATACGTGAACTAAAAGATACAAAAGGCTTTTAGGTTGAGGAAAATAAAGATAAAGACTCAACAATTGCTGTTAAAGTAAATAATCGCAGAATATAATATTGCTTAGAACAATTGTTCTTGATCCCCCACAAGAATTTAGAGAGATACCCATTTATACATTCTGATTAAGGGTAAAAATAAGGTAGGTAAATTGATTACATCGTGGATCCCTGTAATTACGCCTTAATGGCCTGAAGTGGTTGAGAAAATCACGTTTGGGCGAGATATCCGGCGACGCTTGGTTATCCGTTACGAGCCCGGCTTCCGACCTTGTGTGTTTCTCCATCCGGTGGTGATTCCTTTCGAGCTCTGTAACGGTCTCGAAATGACTCGACCTCGGTTGTAGACGTGGCCGTCGTTCTACCTTGCATCCAGGTCGGGTTCGATGGCCCCGACTTGCTCCGGACCGGATCCAACCCGGTCGGGCTCAAGCAAAAAAGGGTATCACCCAATACAAGAATACAGCGGGATACATTAAAATACAATGAAAAAAAGGACAGTGAATACAATGAAATACATGGAATACAGAGATACATTGAATAACAATGAAAAAAAAGACAATGAATACAATGAAATACATGAAAATACAGCGTGATACGTTGAAAATGCATTGACATATATTAACAGATAATCAAGTTGCTCAGCCCCAAACTCCGTCGTCTTTGTTCAAGAACAAATCCTAATTTTCGGCGAATCCGCCGTCGAGCAAAAACCCTGAATCTCCGAGAATGCTACTGCGAAAGTGATCTATTCCGAGAGTAAAAATTTTACAATTGGAAGCGAAGCGAAGTGAAGTGAATCTTTGAATAAGAGTAAGATGCAGTAGCATACTTAATCACAATCCAGTTGGAAGCGAAGGGATCAAACACAAAGCAGATTCAGGAAGATGTGTATTTTTCCCAGATATATATTACTCCAATTGTTATCATCCCTTCACTATCGCTATGAAAACACAGAGAAATACGAGAAGAGAAAGAGGCAAAATCACCGTTTATGACTAATGGTAGGTGATGTGGGTGAGCGGGAATTTTGAGATTGAGCATCGTATTTTCAGGGAATGGGGAAAGAGAATGGCATGTATCAAAGTAGAGAGACAAAGAACGTGGAGTGAGATGTTTATGTGAAATACGGTAATTATGTGAGAGAAAAATTTGAAAAAGGAGAGAGAGAAAAAAAAGCGTATTTAGTGGTTTAGGGGTAGGAGGTAACCAAAATTAGATATTTTGTTATAAACATTAAAAGGTAACTATAGAATATAATTTTGTAAAATGGTATTTATTTAAAATAAATAAGGTGTTTACCATTGCTATAGGAGGTAAAAATTCCTATATAAAATGTTGAACAAAATGCAAATTGACAGCTCGGTCGAAACTAATTGCATTTGCTATCTTAAAAAGTGTATAAATATATATAATTTTTGTAATAATACATATATATATATATATATATATATATATATATATATATATATATATATATATATATATATATATATATATATATATATATATNTATATATATATTATTTTTAGGAGCGGCCAATAATATACATTTCTCTAAAAGATTTCTTCTTTTACTTACAACCACACTTGTAAAATGAATTACCCTTCGTCTCGATGATATTTGACTAAGTACATAATTTAACAAAATAAAAAATTGTGACTATAAAAATTTATTTGCAAATATTAATGTAGTATCATTATTTTTTAAACAGAGAATCACAAAAAAAAGGTCATTGAAACAATAAGAGTGTCACGTACAAACGAAGGGATGGTTGTTATTATTATGGTGTAAAAATTGTGTGGGGTAACCATTTTTTAAAGTGGTATTTATTTTTTATCCAGCATTTTCAATGCTTAGCAATAGTAGCCACTAGTCTATTAAAATTAATATGAAAAGACTGTGTTACCCTTTCTGCTATCTCTTTCATGTTAGGGACTGGGTAAGTACGGTATACGTGTGAACTGTGTTTCTCCTGCGTTAGTGGCAACACCTTTGTTAGAGAAATCGATGAAGATGAGTGCAGAGGAGATAGAGAAACTGTTTGATTCCTTCAATTGCTTGAAAACTGGGGCGGCTATAAAAGCTTCTAATGTAGCAGATGCTGTATTATTTTTGGCTTCGGACGACTCACAGTTTCTCCTGTGACAGTGTTTCTAGTGTAGCATATGCAAGTTTGGTCCCCTCTTACGGCAGGTTATGCAAGTTCAAAAGTTAAGGACACTTGGTCCTGAACTTAGAATTACAAGTTCAAAAATTAAGGAGACTTGGTCCTGAATTTAGACTAACAATCTCAAAAAGTTAAGGACGATATGTCCTGAACTTAAAGTTACAAGTTCAAAAGTTAAGGACAATAGGTCCCGAAGTCCTGAACTTAGACTAACAAGCTCAAAAGTTAAGGACAATAGGTCCTGAACTTTGGCTAAGAAGCCCAAAAGTTAAGGACAATAGATCCTGAACTTAGACTAACAAGCTCAAAAGTTAAGGACACTTGGTCCTCAACTTACAGTTACAAGTTCAAAAGTTAAGGACATGTAGTCCTGAAGTTAAGTTCAAAAGTTAAGGACATGTAGTCCTGAACTTAGAGTTCCAAGTTCAAAAGTTAAGGACATGTAGTCCTGAAGTCGTGAAGTTAAGGACATGAGCAGAAGGGTATTTTCGTCCGAGCAGTTAAAGTTTATTAAAGCAGTTGCTAAAGACTAAAAACATTTTAAATATTGGCTTAAAAGTAAATACATGTGTTATTAGTGGCTAATCGTGCACTTCCCTCAATGTATCATATGATATTATATTTTATTGTATTATTTTGATGTACATAATGTTTGGATAGATTATATTATTTTTTATCATTTTATGATGTCGTGCACCAACAATATGAAGAAGAAACTTGTAGTATTATAAGGAAAGAGTAAGGTACGAGGTAGAATTATCATATAAAAAGGTAGTTAAAAGATAAAATACGATTATTAATAAGGAATGACAAGATGAGAGAAAAATAAGGGAACGCGACCACACCAAATCGTTCGTTCCATAAAGTGACAATTTTATCCTTACATAACAATCAAAAGAAATATCGTATTTAATATAACAATACGATACAATACAACATGTAACAACCATCCAAACTAGTTGTAACTTGTAAGTAATAAAATATAACAAAAAAAGAAGAGATAGGGGAAACAACAGAAAAAAGAAAAACTCAAATTCGAGGTAAACATCAACTATGAATAACTTATAGATTTGCTGCACAAATAAGCTTTCCACATTAGACAGTTCAGTTCTCTCTCTGCAGATTCGAGTTGCGCTATTTTCTCCATCCCATTGCTTGACTCTGAAACATTCTATTACAGTTACAGGTAAAAAGCTTCCTCGTTATCCCATAATTTCATCAGATTATATTAAGATCTGTATATGTTCGTCCTGAAAACTATAATTTTACCATGATTTTTTTCCTCCGCTTTATTCTTTTTCGGGTCGACCCGGTTTGTGATCCAAATAAAAATGCTAGATCTATCAAGCTTACGTTTGTATTTTTTTTTTCTTTGATATCTCTGATTTCTCTGTGTTTAATTGGGCTCCATCGATCCATGATTTGGTTTTTCACTCATCTGAATTTTGTCAATTTTAGAGAGAATTCTTGTGTATTTTTGTGTTAATCGAATAATTGGAAGCGAAAAAAATGATATATTTTTCCAACCTGCCTAGCCTTGGTGGGTAGAGTTATGTGGTGTCTGTGCTGGTGGGAGGTAATAGGTACTCAATGGATTAGTTGAGGTGGGCGCAAGCTGGACTGCACAACACTGTCACAAAAAAATAATTTCTTTTTTCCTTATCCCAAAAAAAAAATAGTTTCCCTAATATAGAAAGCTAAGAAAATATTTCCAGGAGGTCCAGTAGTGCGCACTAAAAGATAGTTATAGGAGATCCACAAATTTATATCTGCAAATATATAGATCGTTTTTATTTTTAACATTTGTATTAGATTCAAAAAATTGTTTATGAATGTGTGGATGAGTTAAATATAATTTTATGTTTGTTAGGCGTTGTCCTCCTATATGTTTTTTGAATATCACATCCATTTTTGTGTGTGCTTATATTAGCCTAGATATGGAAGAATCATATGGCCAGCCCTAATCAGTTTGTGATCGATTGAGTTATGATAAACATATGTTGGAGTCTTCTTTAGAACGATGTGATATCTGTTGAGCCCCCGGGGCTTCAATCTAGTGGTAAGAGCACAATGCGTGATATGGAGATTAGGTGCACCGCTCACGTCACAGGTTTGAACCTGCCATAAGGGTAGAGTGGTGGACCGATTATCCACAGGTTTCGAATTATGCGCCATAGCCCTCAGAGATATCTTGGTTTGTAGAAAAAGAAAGTGTGATATCTTTTGTGGACAGCAGTAGGGGTGGGCATCGGTCGGTTTGGTTTGGTTTTGAATATTATCGGTTTTGCCTATCGGTTATCGGTTTACAAATATCATAACCCGATAACCAAACCGATAAGATATTTGTTATCGGTTATCGGTTAATCGGTTATTGATCATTATCGGTTCGGTTATCGGTTTACCCGATAAGATAAAACTAAAATTAAGAGTGCTGATATTCTACTGTCGCGGGTCCTAATTACCCTGGTGATATTTCTCACATCTTAATTGGTAAGACTTGGTTTATTTATATCCAGCAAGGAATACGTGTAGGTAACTGCAGAAACATATTCAAATATAAGTGTAAAACAGAAGCTGTTTACCGTTGAGAACCAAGTGAAGGAGGCGGAAATAGTAACAAGCTAGTGCGATAAACCTGGGAAGCATGATTCATATCATCTGATCTATGACCTAAGCACCAGTTGACTAACTAAAGAATATCTAATGATATTTAATTATCTAACGAAGCAGCATGCCCTTACCAAATCAGTGTCAAAGCACTCCTGAAAAGAATAGCAATAAATTTCAGATTGCAGAGAGCACTTTCAGCACACAAAGCTGAATAATTTCAGTATAATTTCAGCACACAAAGCTGAATAATTTCAGTATAACTCAAGAAAACCTCAGACAAAGCTGCACAAAACAGCTCAATTGCACACAAAGCTGCACAAAACAGCTCAAAATTCCAATCTAACAAAAATAGGAGATAAAAAGATCCCAACTTTCACAATCCAAAAACAGATGGTACACACAGTAATGTCCTAACTCCAAAGTAATAGTTCAAACACATTAATAAAAAGACAAAGTAGTAGCAACCTTAAGATTAACAAGTCCAAAGTCTAAACATAATATTAATAGTATAAATTCAAGTAAACAACACAAGAACTACTTAATCCTCATAGGCTTCACCAAATTGCGCTCCAAACAACGCTCAACATGCCTCATTAAGGACTTAGTACCGGTTTCTCGTACATTGTAACATAAACAAGATGACAATGACTACATCTTACTTTCCACCATCCATCATCACCTTCTTCAATCCTTTCATAGTGACTCCAAACATGTGAGATAGCTTTGAGATCACAAAGTCGAGGCATGGTTACACCTATTAAACATAAAAAGAAAATATATTAAGTCAAGTAATATTTGTAATCATACAATGTGTTTATAAGTTGAATAATTAACTTACCAAAGTTTTAACTTACAACTATCTAAGATTCTACACATCATCATCGCTGGGTTCGTTTCCAAGATTGGCAAAAGTTTTAATTTATTCGTTGTAAGGAAGTCCAAGTATCAGTGGTAAGGCAAACTCTGTGATCTTTAAAAAGCTTCACCAACTTACGTTTTTCATCATTGAAAAGATCAAAACAGTCCCGAGTCACAGTTCTACGTGAAGGAATTCGAAAAAAAGGTTGTGCAACTTTCATAAAATTCATAAAACCTTCCTTTTCAACAAAGCTGAAAGGAAATTCATCAACGATCACCATACGACACAAAGCCTTCCTACATTGTTCTTGATCAAATTTCCAAGGAACAACAGCTACATCACCCTTATTACCCCCCGGAATAGGTTTAAAGCCTATTTTTGATTGACCTTTTGCAACATCTAAAGGCATTTTTGTACAATTGGCCATATGTGTAAGAGTGAATTCGTACCATTATTTTTTGAATCGGCAAAATATTCTCTTTTGCAATGTTTACAAACACCCTTTTGATTTCCTTCCGGATCAATAATTTGGTCAAATGTTCCCATGCAACATACCTCTTTTTTCTTTGTCTCTTTACTTTCGATTGAACTGATTGAGATTGTGATGTCGCATTTGAATTAGAAGCTCCACTTTCACCAATCACCTTATCAATCATGATATTTTCAGCCATGTTTTTGTGTCACTGTGAGTTTGATTTAAAAGAAATTAAGTAGCGAGACAACAAAATCTCAAAATGAAATACATATAACTACAGATTTAGCTTAAAATCTTAAAATGAAACACATATAACTACACTTCCGTGCAGTATCTACTGATACACGCCATGGATCAACACGGCAACAACATATAGCACAAAATCACCTATGTTAACTCAATTACTCAAATTGAATATCAAAAAATTGCTACTCACTAACCAGAAATTTCACATTAGTAGAGAAGACACCAAGACTGGCGGTTAGCAAACAGAAAACAAAAATCAGAAGCAAACAGAAGCAAAAATCTTGAGCAAACAGAACAATTAACAAGAAGCAAACAGAAAAATCTTGAGCCAAAACTTACACGATGCGATTGACGAGTGAGGGAGTGAGCCGTCGTGACTGGCGGAGAACTGGTGAGGCACTGCCGTATGGCGGAGAACTGGTGGTGAGTCTTGCGTCTTGACTCTTGGGCGCTGCGGCGGAAACAAGAATGAGACAGATGAGAGACGACTGAAGAATGAGTGAAGAGGGAATTAGGAAAATAAAACCCTAGTATATACTTAAGGGTAAATTAGTAAATTACTTCATTCTTATTGGGTTATCGGTTTTTACCCAATAACAAAAATACAAACCGAGACCGAACCGATAACCCAATAAAAAAAAAAATTTAACCCGTTACCGAATCGTTAACCCAATAACCCAATACCGATAACCCAACAAAGAATTAACGGTTTGGATTATCGGTTTTACCCGATATATGCCCACCCCTAGACAGCAGTCACTTTATGGAAAGGAATTTTGGGAAAAATCTATATTGTCCTTTATATGGAAGTAGCCTAATAACTTCAGTAGATATATCACAGTTTAAAATATTTCTGGTAGCATTAGACTAGTTTAGGTTAGGGTATGTGATTTTAGTCTTTTCATCTCAATGGATTACCTCTGCTGGAATTCTAAAAAAAATGTTACTCTGCAACGTAAGGACATTGAATCATTCATGGTACAAGTATGTGAATAAAGAAGCCAACTAGAAAATTTGTAGCTGATAATAGGAATCCGGGTTGAGGTAGTCTTTCTAATTTTCACTAGGACAGTGTCACGTTAGGTTAGTGGAGAAGATTTTGATTGACCTTAATTTGGAACCTAGAGTGTTTAACCAATATGCTCGCTATAAAGTTTTGATTTGCGATACGGAAAGCATTGGAAGTTATTCATGCGAATCACTTGTGATGTATGTGAATAGTTTGTATAGTTGCTTGAATTGTGTGTGTGATCCTTTAAACTGACATTTACAAAAATCAACTGACCAATAAATTATAGGAGCTGAGAGACATTGTGTAGCGGAAAAGGGAAGATGCCTGCACAGAAGATTGAAACGGGTCACAATGACATAGTTCATGATGTTTCCATGGACTATTATGGGAAACGTGTGGCCACAGCATCATCTGATATGACCATAAAAATAGTTGGAGTCAGCAACAACTCAACTTCACAGCACCTTGCCACTCTGAGTGGCCATACTGGTCCTGTTTGGCAAGTTGCTTGGGCACACCCTAAATTTGGCTCAATCCTTGCTTCCTGCTCCTATGATGGAAAAGTTGTAATCTGGAAGGAAGGCAATCAAAATGAGTGGACACAAGCTCATGTTTTTAGCGACCATAAATCGTCGGTTAACTCTATTTCATGGGCTCCTCATGAACTTGGGCTATGCTTGGCTTGTGGTTCTTCTGATGGTAGTATCTCAGTTCACACTGCTAGGTCAGATGGTCTTTGGGACACTACAAAAATTGACCAAGCACATCCAGTTGGGGTAACAGCAGTCTCATGGGCGCCATCAATGGCTCCTGGTGCTTTAGTTGGTTCAGGTGTTCTTGAACCTGTTCAGAAGCTGGCATCCGGTGGCTGTGATAACACCGTGAAGGTTTGGAAGTTATATAATGGTGTTTGGAAGATGGACTGCTTCCCTGCACTACAGATGCACACTAACTGGGTGCGGGATGTAGCCTGGGCACCAAACTTGGGACTTCCTAAATCGACAATTGCTAGTGCTTCAGAGGATGGTACAGTTGTCATATGGACTGTGGCGAAGGAGGGAGATCAGTGGGAGGGAAAGGTTCTTAAAGACTTCAAGACTCCTGTTTGGAGGGTTTCATGGTCTCTAACCGGAAACTTGTTGGCAGTGGCGGCTGGGGACAACGATGCTACATTGTGGAAAGAAGCAGTTGATGGGGAGTGGCAACAGTTCACTTCTGTCGACCAATAGAATCCAAGTAAAAAAATTTATTAGCTCAAGCGAGGACTAGCCTTTTGGTTTAAGTTTTACTCTCTTTATTTGGTTTTACTTGATCCTTTTGTTTGTATTTGGTACATGTGATGATCAATCTGCTAAAGCTAAGGGAGTTGCAAAAAGTTAGTTATATACCTTTTTTTTAAGTTTTGGCCAGTGCTGGTATGTCCTATGTTATACTGCTTTCTGAATACACTCCTAGAGTAATTTTTTATTCCTCTGCCCCTTGTTAATTTTATTAGTACGGACTTATAATTTGTACTAATTCAGAATCTAGGTTTTATTTGCTGAATTTTCTTCTGTTGTCGATTGCTTCATGTATCACCAGTCTTTGTATTCCCCATACCCCCCCCCCCCCCCCCCCCCCATGAATTTCAATTTTATTGCACATAAATGACATGATGAATGATGGCACTCTTTGATATTACTGTTTATTTATGAACACCAAAAGTGCTTATATGTCAAAGTAAAAGCATATGCCATAAGTTGGTTACTCTTGGCTTTTCATCTTACGAGTTGACTAATATTCTTACTATTTTATTTCTAATATTTTTTTGGTAATCCTTCAAATACTATTCCAAAACAAAATCCTTAATTCCTCTTCATATCATTTTTTTTCTTCGTCATTTAACATGTTTTTAAATTATAATCTAAATGATTTTGAGGACGTTTTAATCATTTTAACGGAAACAATGTTTGTTAGATTTTTATTTAGTCGAACGCATTATTAACATTCATTGTAAAAAACTTGTAAGAAGTAACACGTGTGCTCACAACATTGTATCTTCTCTCTTCTACAACACTTGCAGACGCGTTTACCACAGAATCATGTCTCCAACTTTTACAGTTCAGTTATGGGTCCCATAGAGCTGATACTTACCTGCATTTTGTATTTGTATCAAATTAAGCAATTTAATTTTAACAATAAAAAGTTAATCCGAGAATTATATCATTTTGACTATGGATAAGTGACAATTATGTGTATGAAAGGTATATGTCTTGGATTTATTGAATTAGTGTATAGTGGAGGAGATAGAATTTTAAATTCAAAAGATAAAAAAGGTAAACATGTGAAGAGCTAAATGGATTTAACATCTAATATATATATTATACATTAAAGAATTTCATCCCCTTAATTTCGGCCCGAGTATTAACACCAGTAGTGAATAAATAAGTTATTTACCCACTGAGAGATTCATTTCTATATGATAATTTGGTTATATTCTTCAAGCTTCTTATGGAAGTGTCAAGGATTATATTAAGACACGTGATCAATAAGTTAGCATATTTTATGGAATTTTACGTAGCAAGAATTATAAAGAAACACGGAACTCGCACATGAAAATTTGGTACATAACCTTAGTCATGTGGACGGTCGAGGAATATTGTCGTTGATAAATTATCCACTCCAACCTATTAAACTTTGCCATTTATAAAGTTGTCCCTTTTGGAAATTGCAGTAGTAGTTTGATGAATTTGGTATCATTTTAAGAACCCAAAAAAGGAATTTTCTCAAAAGTTGAATTTACTAGAATATTAGTTGTTTCATATAATTAGACAAAAAAAGTTCTTGCAATATCCATTCTTATCTTATCAGTTTTAATTTTGATAAAATTCCAATTTGTTGTGCTTTGAGAATTGAAAGAAGAAAATGGGAGCATGTGGATCAAAAACTAGAAGGTGCATAGGAATGAATGATCTTCAAGAAGGGAGGAACACTCTATCTCACAAGCTCAACAAGATCGAACCATCTGCTTCTAAGAATATTTCTTGCTCCAACACTGCATCCAAAGGTATAATTCTTAGCTGATTTCTCTTCCTATCTGTCTAAGCTTTAGGGGCACAGTTATTTCGTACTGGTTGTCTAAATTTCGGTGACAGAGTTATCTGATACTAGGTATCTAACTGGTGCGAGGTAGCAAGTACCATCAACGAGTGTGGTGGGATGGATGAATTCCCTCCACATTTCTCGGGTTTAAAACCTGAGAATGGAGAAACTCTTGGTAGGAAGCACTTTTCCCCTTTAGTGGGCCCCTATGTTGCGAATTTGAATTAGTCAGAATATTTATACCCAAAAAAGGTAGCAACTTCCCAGTAGTAGTCGAGGCGGCTCAAGTTGGACTGACAAACTATTTTAAGAAAGGGAAACGATTAGCTGATTTCCTTCTCAAGCCATCATCTATATTGATTGTGATTCTGTTCTTGCACTAAAGCATTGTCTTTTTTTTTTTTCTTAGCTTAAAGATGAGTTAATAACAATATAGGATTCGTTTTGATCATGAAACATTTTGACTACTATGTTGAATTCTGCTTCTATTTGTTGACTACATGTTTGATTTCTTACTTTTTGCTTTTAGTATATACTTAACTATTGAAATATCTTGACTGTTTTGGTAAAATTATGAAGCTAGAACATAGACAAAAGCACGGTGTTCTTTTCATACTTTTGGATATAGCTTCCCCTCGGCAAATTTTGTAGGACTCGCTAGATTGGAATGTGACTCGAAGTGTTTTATTTGGCCTAAACAGGAAATGGAGAATTTGACCCTGAGGTGATGATTGAATCGGAAAGTAGCAATGATTTTCATAGCGTGCAAGATGGTAATACATCTGAGTAAATAAACATTCATAGTCGTTGTTTTAATGTCTTCCGTGAATTTGACACGCATGATGTCTCCTCGTGTAATCAGAGGCCGACCCAGGAGTTGAAGGCCACGGGTGCACTTTTGGATTCAACCAAAATCTGCTTTGTATATAGGGTGCCTACTACTAATATATCACTATTTTCTAAGGACATATACATGTATACATGGAATTTTTGCCCAATTTTACGGGTGCTGGTTACCCCTCTCTGTATAGCATAGGTCAACCTCTGCTCGTGTTACATCCCTCGTCAATTCTTTCCTTGTAAAAACATAGAAATTGATGGGCAGGATATAAGTGATCAATGTTTTCTGTAACTTCAAAATTTGCAGTATTTTCACAGAGTGGCAGTGGATCTTTTTCAACTGTGATTTCTCCAAGGTTTTATGATACTGTTTGTTGCAACAGTAATGCTGCTTTTGAGTCTGCAGCAAAACATGAACAATCATTTGCAAGTGTGGAACCAAATATTGTCAGAGAAGTTTCTGTAAAAAGAAAATCTTCTAAGGATACTCAGCTGCAATTGAACAATCCTCAAAATGAAATGACGGTTTCACGCCCTATTGTCAAAGTGTATAGCAGAAACATGGATAAAAATGCTGAAGGAGTTCAGCTCGAAAAGAGAAAATCTGCAATCCCAAGCTCACCAGGCACCAGAAGGAAATCATCTCTAACCAAAATATTATCTTTTAAACGGAGAGAAGCCTATTCAAATTCTGCATCGTGTAAGTGTTTTTACCTTATATTTTTTGTTAATACCGGCCCTAGCCTGTAATTGATTACTTTTCTTTGAATATACGGCATTGAAGCTGAAGTTGCTTTGTGAATAATTTCAAGAAGGAAATTTTATCTTGAATTTTATGCTAAAGTATATTAAGCCAGTTGATGTCAATATTACATTACGGATGCAATTAAATGGCTAAAAAAGTTTGGATAAATGGTAAAGTAGATAGCATGCTCGTATGTCATCTTGAATAGATCGATACTTAGTAATCTGCAGATAACAGTTGTTTCCTTCCTAAGCATATGTAATTCATAGGCTGCACTTGACACATATTGACTATTTTTATCGTCTGAGTACAATGTGAACATCAGGAGTTTTTGATGTTAAAACACTCACTTGCTTTATTATTAAAATTTCTGCTTTTCCATCTTCAGTGTCGTCAAAGGCCTCTCTGCGAAGACCAGTCGCTGGTTCTCAAGTTCCATGCAGCCCGCGGTCGGCTAAACTGTCCAACTCTTGGTCATCAATTGAGCCAAATACTTTTAAAGTTCGTGGTAAAAGATACATTAGGTAAGATAATACCACTATTTGATGAACCAGATTTGTTACCTGAGTTTTTATAACACATAGTCAACTCTACTGTATTTTTAACTCTAATCAAATTCCTTTGGTTACTTCTGTTCAATTAAATATCAAGTTTAACCCCTCTAAATTGTTTGGCAGGGACAAGAAGAAAGAGTTTGCTCCAAACCATGCTGCATTTTATCCTTTTGGGGTAGATGTATTCTTATCACCACGAAAAATTGATAACATTGCACGTTTTGTGGAACTTCCAGCCGTTGATTCATCTGGAGTAGTTCCTCCAATCCTTGTAGTTAAATCTTCAGGTGTGTCCTTAGTTCTCTTAACACTTTATATATATCATTATTCTTTTGTTGAACAACTTGTCAAACAATGTCCATTCCAGTGGCGTATGCGGACATCTACACAAGCGGAGTAGGTCTATAATTACAATTCGAAACTTGTAAAGTCAGTTTAGGTCCGAAACTGTGTTGATATACACTTAGTATTTTCAAGTGATTGAGTTGGTAAACAGATCATTCAGCAAACTGCCTCATACATTTTGTCAAGATGCAGATTATTGACTATTTTCTCATTTTAGTTCTTTTGGCACTAAATGATTGATTGTTTTATCATCTCAGATACCATTGTACCCTCCGACAATCTTCCAAAATGAACACAATGGGAAGGGATGAGTTTTGTTTTCTACTTCAAGCTCTCAGAAAATTACTCAAATGAACTTCCAGTCCATTTTCAAGAGAATATCCAGGTACGGTCGTGCATCTCGCTTAAAAAATATACCTGCTCCTGTAGTCAGAAATATTTGTTGTTAGTGTGCACTTAATGATTTTGGCCACTCTAAATAAATTCCCGACTAACTATTCTTTTGCTTGCTATCCGCGTGACAGAGGTTAATTCATGGTGAAATAGAGAAGATCAGAGGTTTTCCTGTAGATAAAAATGTACCCTTCAGTGACAGATTGAAATTCTTGGCGCGAGTTGTAAACATAGAGGATCTTCAGTTAAGTGCAGCTGAGCAGAAGCTCATGAACGCTTACAATGAAAAGCCTGTGCTCTCACGTCCTCAACACGAATTTTATTTGGTAAAATTAATCTAAGAAACTTTTTTGTGTAGAGCACTTGTTTTCTTCCGTTTTTGTTATCTCCAAGCTCTCTGGATATATATGAAATATCTTAACTTTATCTTACGTTATACTCTAGGTCCATTCATACTCCTGCCTTTAACAAATAGTAAGTCTCATATTTGCTCTTGAACCAAACAGAGCTCCAATCTGAAGTATAGCGGAGGGTAATTTTATATCATAGTCAAGACTAGAGAGGTTAATTTGGATATTTTTCCCAAAATATGTTGACACGTGGAAATCACCAAGTCCATATTGGAGCTCCGTCAAGGACAAGGGCAAATATGCAACAATTTTGTATAGAAGATGAGACCTTTTCCCTTTATTTTTTGGGGATTGAGCATATATCCTTGACGTTCCTACTGAAATCTTTTGTCGTGTTGACTTGCAGGGAAAAAACTATTTTGAGATTGATTTTGACATTCATAGATTCAGTTATATTGCCAGAAAAGGATTGGAATCATTTAAAGACAGATTAAAGAACTTTGTCCTTGATTTTGGTCTAACAATTCAGGTAGGTGTTAGCAATCCCGAGGATGATTGAAGTTGCTCACAAAGACTTAAAATCTAATATGCCTTGTAAATTTGGTGCAGGGAAACAAGACAGAGGACTTGCCAGAAAATATGTTATGCTGTATTAGATTGAAAGAGATCGACTACACCAATTATCAACAGCTAGGCTTCTGAATTAAGTACACGGCTCGACATGGTGAACCTATATGACAGGTCGAAAAAACTACTCATTTACTCTATAGGAACTTAGACTCTCTCTCTCCTTATGTGTGACTTAATTACAAAATAAGATCATAGTATGCTTTTACGGGTGATCTCTCTCGCTTTCTTAAGGAATTTCTAGTCATATAGATGACTATGGTTTCACTCATGAGTTTAAATCTTTTCTTCAGTTCGCTTAGCAGGGCATTTCATTCTTGAAATGACTAAATGTAGAACCTTTACTTTGTCTATAATAAAAAAGAAATAAAAATCTCTTATGCATGGTTACTATTAGAAGTTAGAACATAAGCTGAGGAACTCGAAACAGGCTCCTAGCAATAGGGGAAAAAGGAATTGGCAAAGCAAAGAGTCCTCTTAACATTTATTCCAACTCGCGAAATTGTAACACCATCTATATCTAGAGTCAATAATCAAGATATACATCTAGAAGTGAAGGAAAATCCATTAGCATTTGCTTGTCGCGAGCCAAGATAGTGTCCACGAATGAATCAACAGCAGAGGAACAAGTGGCTTCTTCAACTGATTGCTTTTCCTCAACTTCAATCACTTCTCCACAAGTAGGATTGTCCTTGTGAACTGAATTTGACAGATCCTTTGACAAATATATCCCAGCTTGGAGTTGGTATTCCTGTTTTTTCTCTGTATCTGTGGATGTACACAGATCTCCAAGTACAAACTCGTTCCAAGTAGATGTTGACGAAGAACATGCCGTGGTATGAACCTGATAGGATTAATTTTACGTATGGTCACTCAACTTTCTCTACTGTAACAGTTAAGTACCACTATAATAGTAATGTCGCCAAAGTATTTTTGTCATATTAAAGTAATTGATTTTAACCCACTATCCATAAAGATACTAAACTTTATCCACTATAACGACAAAACATACCCATCAAGGCGACTTTACTATTATTGTGGGCAAAGTTTTGTAGATTTACTGTTATAGTGTATAAAGATTAATTACTTCAATGTGGATTTACTGTTATAGAGTGTTTTCTCAATGATCATACGTGAAATTAACTCGAACCTGAGATTGCACGGAAGCGTAAGAAGACGATGAGCTGAATACTGTTGGGTCAAAAGAAGTTGCTGATGAAATCAAGGGGGAGACTTCACTAAAACTGTATTTTTGAGTGGAGTAGTTTTCTTGTAACTGATCATTCATAATCTTGTGAACAAATTTATCATGTGGAGTTCCACTTGAGAATGGAAATTGCCGTGATATTTCAGTAGTATTGTTGGGCAAACAGATATGATTTCTTGCATTTTGAATTGGGAGGCCACTGATTTTTCCATACTCAGCAAAGACTTGAGCAAATGGTTTATGTGTTACAGGATCAATTCCCATGTTCACAAGCTTTTTCTTCAATTTTGTGTTCCAGTAATTTTTGACATCATTATCTGTTCTCCCAGGTAATTGCTTTGCTATTAAAGACCACCTGATAAATACAAACCACAAGTTGTTAACGAGAAATATTTTTCGGAAAATATTTTTAGACGTTTGGTTGTTAGAAAATATATTTTACACCAAAAGAGGGAAAATGACTTCCCACAGTTTTGTGTGGAAGACATTTTCCTTAATATTATCTAAACTCTTAACTTCCTATCATTGCTTTAACCAATACTTAAGACACTATTATCAATCTTTAACACTCAAACTTCCATTAAAACCACTCTCCAGTTTGCTAATAATATTATCAATCTTTAATAATATTGTTTTTTGGGAAAATATTTCTTTCTCATCAAACACTTGAAAATATTTTCCATAAATTAAGTCCTTTTTGGAAAATATTTTCTGTAAAAAGTTAACTTTTGTCATACCAAACTATTTACTTGCGAACCAAGGAAGATTAGGATTTTTTTTAAAAAAAAACTAACCTGCTACCAATGGTTTTGTGAAGCTCAAGAATGCACTCTTCTTCTTGAGGTGTGAAGTTGTCATGCTTAAGATCAGGACGTAGATAATTGGTCCATCTGAGCCTACAGCTTTTTCCACACCTATTGAGACCTTCAAATTCATCCAATAAATTTTGTATCTATTATCATTTTTGAGTAGATATATATGATCAACAAATAGAGACGGATTCAGAATATAAATATGGAGTGTCCAAGTATGAATTCGAAATTTAGTATTTTGTTGAAATTTTCGTTATATTCACATACATATTTATATATTTCCGTAAAAAAAAATACTGAATTCAATAGAACTCGTTAGAACTATATATAGTGCATCCGCCTCGACAAATGGAATATTGATCAAACCTGCTTTCTGAGGGACCAAAGTCCAGTTGCCAATTCCATGAGTGGCTACATAAGCAAGAATTTTTGCATCTTCCTCAGCAGTCCAAGGGCCTCTTTTCACATTTGCTTTATCACAACAAGGAGGCCTTCCCATTATCAGAAGATAAACAAAGTCAAGATTTGCAAGTACCAAAGAGAGACAAAGAAGAAGAATAATAACAATAATAATAGAGAGATTTGATATAATGGTAATGCAATTTCCATTAGCACTGAAAGCACGTTTGGAGAGGGGGGAGAGTATTAAACTAAAAAAGGGCATGAAATGCATGTAATTTTTGGCTCCCTTTTAGCAACATTTGCATGATTCTTCTCAAGAAAACTTTTTGACGTGACTTCCAAAATAATGCATGCTCTCTCTCTCTCTCTTTCTTTCTCTCTCTCACAGTCGACCCAAGAGAATAATATAATAATGGAGTTTAAGTTATATTACCTGACAAATGTCCATAATATTTACAAAATATCAATGCAATATGATCAGTTATTGCAGGTTATTATTACATTATCTAGGTTAGACTTGATTCTAAAAGTTGCCTGATGTTGTAACTTGTAAGTTAATTTGATATGATAATGAAAGAGTTCTTTATGATATTAATGCATAGAACATAAAAGCATAATAATGTATTTGGGTGAATTTGTTTGGTTTAGCTGATTCCCTTTGGCTAGGAATCACATTGAGGCGATGACTCTTCGCCATATGTAAATCTGAATCTGTTATAACTAGAGCCATAATACAAATTGAGTCAGCATGACATTTTCTTCAAAAGTTTTTTACATGTTGCCTAAGCATGATTTTCCTTTTCATCCAAAATACTACGATACAAGGCAGTGAAGCAGAGCTGTAAAATAACTAACAAGAAAAAGCAAATGACAAATTATGTTACTCGCTGCGTGATTTTACTGAGTATTTATTGATCCCCAGGAGGAATTCAACTTGCCCTCAAAGATTACCTAAGCCAAAGGGGAGAACTCAAAAAAGAGAACCTACGCCAAAATATGGTTCTCCATAAAAGAAATATAATCATCTATACATATAGACACCTTAATAAGTGCACCAAAAAGAAACTAGAGACAAAAAGGCTATTTTGCAACTTAATAAAGTCTAGCTTCACTCCTTCAAAAGCTTTCATATTTCTCTCTTCCATATAATAACCCACATAATGGGCAGGGGAACAAACTTTCACGCCCTTAGAACTTCTCTTCCTACTCTTGTAGGCCCAACTGTGCGATGCCTCTTCCACTTTTGCCGTCATTATCCATTTTAATCCAACCAATAACGGACCACCATCCACAGTCTTGAAGCCATACTTTACAATGCAAAAGGAGATGATCAACGTCTTCGCCTGACCTTTTGCACATAAAGCTCCAACTAACATATATAGGTGATTTACCTCTTCCTTCAATTTTCCGCTGTTAACATCACTTCCCTCGTTGCCAGCCACACAAAGAAACTGTAACGACCCGATCAGTCATTTTGAGTATTTGCACTTTGCTCGGCAGTTTGAGGGCATGAGTAGCTCCGTATTATATATTATGACTTGTGTAAATCGTTGGCTTTGGTTTTCAGGTTATTCGGAATCGATTTGGAAGAATGAATTTCATGATTTAAGCTTTAAGTTGGAAGAGTTGACCAAGTTTGACTTTTCAGAATTTGACCTCGGATTGGAGTTTTGATGTTTCCGTTAGGTCCGGATGGTGATTTTGTACTCGAGCGTATGCCCGGATATGTGTTTGGATGTTTCTAGAAGGTTTCGGCACAAATTGGCGAAAGTTGGAAATTCGAATGTTTGGAAAATTCATAAGTTTGACCGGGAGTTGACTTTGAGGATAGCGGATTCGGATTGTGTTTCAGGGAATTGGAAAAGCTTCGTTATGTTATTTGGGACTTGTGTGCAAAATTTGGATTCATTTCGGGTTGATTTGATATGTTTTGGCGCGAGTTTTGGAAGTTAAAAGTTCAAAGTTCGTTCAAGTTCGAATTGAGGAGCGATTCATAGTTTCGATGTTAGGTGTGATTTGAGGCCTCGAGTAGGCCCGTGTTATGTTATGGGACTTGTTCGTATACTTGGACGGGGTCTCGAGAGGCTCGGGCATGTTTCAGATTGATTTCGGGCCATTTTTCTTCATGTTCTCACTGATGTTTGCTGGTATTTCAAAACTTTTTCGCGATCGCGTAGTGTATTGGAGAACCCGGTCATTTTTCCTTCATTGCGTTCGCGACAGTGGAACCGCGTTCGCGTACGTTTGTGGTACCTAGGTGTCGCGTTCGCGTAGTGTAGAGATGAGAAGCTGGGGACTGGGGAGAATGCCTTCGCGTTCGCGAAGTGGATGATGCGATCGCGTAAGGTTGGAGCTGTTGTGAATTGCGTTCGTGAGGTCTATGACGCGAATGCATAGAGTATTTTTTGTGGCAAATTATTTTGTTCATCGCGAACGTGATGAATTTTCCGTGTTCACGTAAGAGGAATGCCTGCGCAGAATTATAACGGGGATTTCGGCCATTTTATCATATTTGGAGCTATGGAGCTCGGATTGAAGCGATTTTTACCATATGTATTGTGGTAAGTGTTCTCTACTCATTTTTTATTTTATATCATGAATCTATCTTCGTTTTTGGCATTTGATTGAGGGTTTCAAGAGAGAAATTGGGAGTTTTTGTCTAAAGTTTCATAGAGTGAAATTTCGTGTTTTGAATATTGATTCGGAGTCGGATTTGAATAATATTTGTATGTTTGAGCTCGTAATTGAATGGGTTATCGGACTTTGTGAGTTTTGTCGGGTTCCGAGGCACAGGCCTGGGTTCGGCTTCTTGGTCGATTTTGGGCTTTTGATTGAAGATTCGACCTTTAGCATTTGGAATTGTTTCCATAGGCATTATTTGATATTCTTGAGTTTCTTTTGGCTAGTTTCGAGTCGTTCGGAGGTCGGTACAGGCGGAATGACATTTTTGGAGTATCGTTTGGCTTGCTCGGTATTAGATTTGGCTTGTTCGAGGTAAGTAATACTTCTAAACTTGGTGCTGAAGGTATGAAACCTCGAATTACGTGTTATGTGATTGATGTTAAGGTGACGCGCATGCTAGGTGACAGGCGTGTGGGCGTGCACAGTAGAAATTGTGATTTAGTCGATTCCATGGATTTGTGTAGTTATCTTATCTTAATAAATGTACTGTACTCTATGTGTTAGAGCACGTGAGCTATGATTCATGCTAGAAAATATGTTTAGGCTACATGCTGGTACTACTGGGACTCACAGCGGTCGTTCTTTGCTGTTGAGTTATTTGCTTAATTGCAGTTATGTACTCAGTCGCATTCATCATTACATATCATATCTTAGTCTCTATTATTGTATATTGTCACATCTCATATCATTGATTTGGGCTGCTTAGCATGAGTGTTGTGAGCCCGAGAGACTAGAGAGATTGATGACTGAGTGAGGTCGAGGGCCAGATTGTGAGTGGTATTTATGGGATCAGGCTGCACGCCACAACATGATTTATTGATTCATGCCAGTATTTGACTTATTATAATGCTTGGGCTGGATCGCCCCCTCTGGAGTCTGCACATCCATAATGGGCACAATTACTAGCAATCATTTGCATTGGGTTGGATCTGCCATGGTTTATTTGTATTTGGGTTGGATCTGTCCTGTATAGTACTGAGTGATTGAGTGTGCTGAGTATTGAGCATGATGAGTGAGAATACGAGGCAGTGGGATTGAGTACTCTGAGAGTGTGAGTACATGAGTTCATCACTAAGATGCATTGCATTTGACATGCGTACTTGAGATATAGGTATAGAAATGTATTTTCCCATGCTACCCGGTTTGGGTGACATTCATGACTTCACTTGCATATTGACATGTAGGCATCCAGATGTACTTTCCTCATGCTATCTGAAATGAAACATCTTATTTATTGTTGAAAGGGTTTTGGGAAAAATCACAGTTTTCGAACTTACTCATATGTTTCTGATATTTTCAGTAAAATATACTGTTATACTTGAAAAGCATGCCTATTTTTTCGTAAGAGAGAGAACGAGTTGAGCATCATACCTTTGAGCTATTTTTCTTGCACTATTTTTATTATATTGTTATAAACTGTGGCTGGTTATTGGAGTTGGACTCTGATCCTTATCATAGCTCGTCACTGCTTTTAACCTAAGGTTAGGTTTGTTACTTATTGAGTACATGGGGTCGGTTGTACTCATACTACACTTTTGCGCCTTGCGTGCAGATTTGGTATGCTGATGTTGCTGTGTACAACAGGAGTTGGATCTGAAGATGTACTTGCGCTCCAGTTATGGCTATCACTTGACCTTGGTAGCCTTAGAGCTTTAAACCTGTTCATGTATATTTCAAACAGAGGATGTATTTTATCTCATACTATTTTTGTAAATTCTAAATCTTAGAAGCTCATGATTTGTACTACCAGTTCTTGGGAAATTCTTGTATGTCAGCACTTGTATTATCATTTCTTGTCTTAATAAATCTCATTAAATTTGATAGTTGGTTAATGGCTTGCCTAGAGGGTTGGGGTTAGGTGCCATCACGACTAGTCGGGTTTTGGATCGTGACAAGTTGGTATCAAAGCTCCAGGTTCATAGGTTCTACAAGTCAAGAGCAAGTGTCTAGTAGAGTCTTGCGGATCGGTATGATGACGTCCATACCTATCTTCGAGAGGCTACATGGAATTTAGGATAAACTTTCCATCTTTTTTTCCTTATCGTGCGGCATTGATTCAGCTTGAAGAGTACCTCTTTGAATCCCTTCCACTCACTCATGTGTTCGAGTGAGCTCTCGGTATCAGCGGTGAATCGACGGCTTGTGATCCATGGATGAGGTGCAAAATATAATTTCTATGTGCTGATGATGGGCCAGTCTGGAGGACTTGAGGCCGGGTTTTGACTGTAGCTTGAGCACGATAATTTCGGTTATGTGAGTGTGCTTTTGGAATTATATGTCCAGTAGTGTCCCTATGAGTGGGATTTGTGGCTCGATGAGTGGTTGTATGGCTATATTATGAGTATGATGTGACTGTGGGGTGTGTTCAATTGGTTTGAATGTGACGGGAAGAGTTTTCTTGGGATGTGAAGAGGA